TCTGACAAATATTTTCTATCTCATACATTAAAATTTTCTCTTTATGTGACATGAAATTTCGGTAAAAAAAAAATACACACAAATTCGCTAATTTCCAAATTCAAAAAAAAAAAAAACTGCGGGTAGGGTGTAACAAAACTAACGGCGAGCGGCAAGCAGAATCTCTACTTGTGCCAGTGTAATATGTAAAAGGTGTTTACTTGTTTTCGCACGGCAAGAAATTCACGCCCGCACTACTGAGTCCTATTGGTTAGCTGTCATGGCGGTCCTCGAGCGCAATGGCAACTTGAATATCTGGTGGTTCCCCAAGGAGTTCAGCCAGTCGCGCTACGGCGAATACCATCACAGTGGCACCAATTCGTGCACTCTAATCACGCTCATCCTGGCCGATATGGTCGCGAAAGAGGGGCGTGGATTCTATTGCCAACGTATGCAGGATCTACCGCCGCGTGCTGTAGAAATCTTTGCCGAAGGAATCAATAAGGGCAACAGCGCCTACGCACATCTGATCAGCGGCAGTGCGGGTCAGGAGAGCAGCGGCGTTACTTTGCAAATGACGGCCAATCAAAACCTCAATATACCGGACGCGCTTAATGTGCTCAAGCGCCAGCCACACTTTCGCTTGAAGGAGTGGTTCTTCACGCATATGCAAGCCGATCCGGAACGTGAGTCGTGCCGCACTATTGCGCTGCGTCTGCTGCAGGCGGTCAACACCGGCTTGCAGCAGTTTCGGCAGGCAGGCAAGGTGAATGAGCATTTCCTTTTCGCCGCAATGATTTCCGACAATCGCACCGTTCTATTTGTTATCGAATTCCCGGCGAATCTTATCACCTTCTTCGATTCGCATCAGCATGGACGTGACGCGGGTGCTGTAGTGGCGCAGTGCAACATCCGCGACATGTACGACATGATGAACTGGTTCGTGAACATGAATCACGATGTTTACTCAAGCCAACCGCACATATATGAGGTCTCATTTCTACTACCTGATCCATCGGGCTTGCCAACACCTTCAAAGGTCGAGAAATGCGAAGTAACACAGAAGAATAATATAACGCTTGCGAAGAAAATGCAGAAGAAATGAAGCGTGAGCAATGTAGCCGTTCACTGCGCGGTACCGACATCCAAAGCTAAATATTGACTGTGCATATTGTGGTGGCCGTACGTTACACCAGCCTGCTGCAAAAATTGTCTAGTGCAAATGTTTATTGAAAGTCGAAAATGAAAATCGCAAAAATGCAAATGTCTTGTAATCTAGGTCTTTATGCTTCTAAACTCAACCTTACAGTTATTTCTATAAAAATAAACAAACTTTCCCAAACCGCAGCGCGGTGGTTTTGCCTTTTTTTTGTGTGGTTACAGTGATAAGTTGAAAAAATATTTTTATTGAATTCAATTTGTTGCTTTGTCATTAACTTTCATTTTTCGAATTAGGCGGAGATTAAGCTGATATATATAGCATTAGAAATACTTCAATATGTAGTATACAATATATAGTATAAACTAGATAAGAGCTTAAGCCGGTGTGGCTTAGTATGAAGAGCTTTGCTGCGCCACTTAATTCGAAAGTGAAGATGAAAGCTCACAAAAGCTTTCACAGATGTAGTAAGTATTAGTGGCACATGATCGTGACTTTAATACTGCTTGAAATCGTTTGATAATGCCGCAAGTGACTGCTTGTAGATTGCTAAGCTGCTTATAAAGTAATAATATATGATAACGAGTATTTGTAGCGCCATTAGGCGGTTACATGGGTTTCGTCGAGCTAAAAATGGCATATTTTCAATAATTTTTTTTTTTTCATATAAAAGTTAAATACAATATTTTATTCAAACTTAATTATTCCGAAGACACATATTTGATAAAGATTTTGTGAAATTTTCAAAGGAAAATATTCAAAACTCGGTCATTTCGACGTCATTTCCGGCAGTCCCTCGGAAAAAAGGTGCTTCCGCGTTGACAGCAGAATTTCTGACAGGATCATCAAAAGTAAAAAGAAAAAACAAACGTGGTTGCACTAAGACCATTAACTAGGTATTGGAATGAGAAAAAAAAAATTAAATGAAAATTGTATTTTTGGCACACGTTTTTACAAAAACATGCAAATATTAGTGAAAGTTTCTCGACTTTTTTTTGTTTTTTAAATAGTTGTAATCGAACAAAAAAAATCTTCCGCGGCAAGTCCTTGTAAATTATATTTCAAAGACTTGTGTAAAATTTTATTAAGATCGGCTGGGTTACTCGTGAGAAATCTTGACAACCGACTTTGCCAACAGAATTTCGAGAAAAACGCGTTTAAAGTTTTAGGTGATTTTAAGCGACTATATTCTTGACCTCGAGCGCGCAACTTTTCAAAGCTGTATTTCTAAAACTATTACTGGTATCAACTTGATAATTTCGGACAATATTCTAGAGATGTCATGGAATTAAATAAGACTACAAAAAAAAAATGTTTTTTTTTTTGAAGCCGTTAAACCCATGTAACCCCTTAACAGCTAGCTAGCTGCTCCAATCAAGTACAGCTATGCGTATGAAACTCCCACGTGTCTTTCATTCTTCAAGTATAATACTGCATAACGGCATTAGTATATTTGCTCATAAAAGTCTTTGTAATTTTATTTTTACATGGATTATGGTATGATATATCACTCCATATGGAGTCTATATATACGATACATGAAAATTGGAATTATGTAAATGAGCCTAAAAAGATACATAATGAATATTAATTACTTTAGTTTGCCATGATCTGTGTCGTAAGCATTCAATTTATATGCGCAATTATTTTGCAGTTTACATAAATCCATTAATATTACACACACATATGCACACATCTTAAAGAACATTTGCTGCCAAAAGAAATACACATACATGCATACATATTCATATGTCTACAAATATTTGCATACAATTTTTGTTGTGTGAAAATCAAAATTTACATTCCGCTTAATTAAATTACATAATAAAAACAGCCGAAAGCACTACACCGACATATCTACACACACATACATGCATGATTTTAATTGACGAAATTGCTATAAGCCATTACAAAATAATTGAAACACCACTTTAGGCAATCAAATCAAATCAATTAAAATTACTTAAAAGACGCCAAACTCAATTAAAACTCACTTGAATTGATTTGTTGTTATTGCTTTTTTTTTATTTCCTCTTTACCAACATATTTAATTAGTAAAATAATAGCAATTAATAAGCGGCAAATAGAAAATCGGCAAGTCGATTATGTTTTGAATTTAAAACCTAAATGTGCCTCAAAAGTTAACTGTGAATCATACAGGTGTGCTAAATTTGTTCATTTGCCACCACAAACGTGGTTTGCATTTGAAATTAACTACTGAGTGAATCAAATACTAATTACCGTAGACACATGTCCTCTAAGTACCGCAAGTGTATTATGTTCTATGTCACTAATTACTGCAGACTCGATTTGACTTCGTATGGATGTAGCCACTCGCGCGTATGACTAGCTTCCGGTTTATTGGATGCGAAGTTGTGCTATTGTGCCCCTAATTATGCATACGAACCCGACTTGGCAACATGTATATTTGTATAAACACGTTGGTTGAAAAGTTTCTGCGCTCGAAATGAAAAATACTGTTTTTGGTACGAAATATATTTTTTATTCAATATAATTTCCCTTAACTGCAATACACTTATTCCAATGTTCCTCCGATAATTGTATGCCATCCCTATAATGACTTTCCAGAAGCTTTGGCTGTAATAACTTCTTCATTTGACGAATAACACTTTCCACGAAGGAATTGTTTCAGCTTTCTGAAGAGGTAGTAATCGCTGGGAGCCAAAACTGGTGAATACGGTGTATGCTCAAGCAATGCGCACTTTAATTCGTTGAATGTTAGCATTGTTAGAACACCTTAGTGAGCAAGTGCATTGTCTTGATGAAAATAGATTTTTTTGTGCTGCAAACTAGGTCTTTTCTAACGAATTTTTTGATCCAGCAGCTCCAAAAGGCTGCTATAATATTCAGAGTTGATTGTTTTACCTTTCTGCAGATAATCAATCAACAAATCCTTTGCATCCCAAAAAACTGATGCCATAACCTTCAATGCTGATCATTGTGACTTCATCTGCTTTGGTGCTGAACAACCAGCTTCAGTCCACTGTAAACGTTCTTGTTTCAATTTATTATCATGTTGGTAGGTCCAAGTCTTATACATGGTTATAAAACCACTGATATCATATTTTTGAAATTTGTTTCCGTTCCAGTGTTTGTTGAATTGTTAACGCGCGTGGCACTAAGTTTCCAAACAGCTTTTTAATTTTTATAATAATTATTAATAATTCTCCATATAAAATATGAAGTACTCGTTCATCTGAGATGCCTATGACATTAGCAATTTCACGCTTAGTCAAACTTGGTTCTTCACTAACAATATTATGAACTTGCTCAATGATTTCTGGTGTGGTTGCGGTTTTTGGTCGTCCTTCGCGTGGATCGTCTTCAAGCCTAGTACGACCACGTTTAAATTCATCAGCCCAAAATTCAACGGTGCGTTTTGAAGATGAATACTTCTTATACACTTCTAACAATTGTTCATGAATTTCCTTTGCTTTTAAACCTTCAAAACAAAGCATCTAATCACTGCGCGATATTAAATTTTTGCCATATTGAAAAAATACGCTGACACTTCAAATTCAAATGGCTTGTAAACAAGGAATTAACTGACAGAATGACTTGTAACTTTGCATGTGTGCTCACAACAGATGTACCAACTTGAGAAAAAAAATTCGGAGCTAGCAGTGCTATTTCTTAGTGAGCACTACTCATTTTTCAACCAATTTGTACATAAGTGCGTACATATGCAACAAAACAACTAGTCTAATTGGAATTTTTTGAAGGTGAACTTTGCTTTTGCTTCTTGTACAGTTATGAAGAGGAAACTAGTCTTTAATTATGCATTTAACTAATTGTTGCAAACCAGGAACTAATTTTTTTTACAATTTTCTTATAATTTCAGAGCAAAAAATTCTTCCTCATAGGTGTCGCGCTGATCGGCCCCGGCCTAAGGGGCCATGACGCGTTGGCCCTTTCATTATTTATTATTGCTCTCGGTGGCAGTATTCTGTGTACCGGGTGTCATAGCTTTGCGCGACGAACAAAATAGGACCATACTCAATGTTGGCTATCTAACAGCCATTACCGGTGAGCTAATGGACAAGCAGGGTCTGGCCATTTCAGGTGCACTCACAATGGCTTTAGATGAGGTAATTGCCAATAATAACAACAACATATTTCTTCAGTATTTGATTAATAACTGCCTAATCGTTTTGCAGATCAACGACGATGTCAACTTGCTGCCAAATGTCAAGTTGCAGTTGCGCTGGAATGACACCAAAGGTGACACGGTGACTGCTACCAAAGCCATAACCGAGATGATATGTGACGGCATTGTGACGATATTCGGTCCGGAGGGTCATTGCTATGTGGAGGCTATTGTATCGCAAAGTCGTAACATTCCAATGATATCATATGTAAGTCAATTTAACATGTTTTCGTATATTTTTTTAGTTTTTGTTTGAAAGCGTGTCAATTTGTACAAAAATATATACTTGGTACGATGAAAGCTTCAGCTATCATTGGAAATAAAAAGATGTTATTCGTTGCCAAGTCAGGTCTATACGGCGTATGACTTATCAAATCAATGTTTTGTGTGCTCAAAAATGCAGTTGCTTCAGTCGATTTGTGAAAGCTGGCATTGTCGTGGTGAAGAGTGATCCGTCTTCGGCAGTTGGTGTTTCTGATTTCTCGAAAGACAACTGGCAAACAAATGATTGTGTTTAACTCAAAATTTACTGTTTTGTACTGTTCTAGTGGTATGGTTGGGACATGTTCAGTTTTTCCACAACAATCAATCAACCATTTGTTTGGAAGTGCTTCGTGCGCGTACAACTTTGATTGAATACGGCTTATCTGGAAACACCCATATAGCCCACGGCTGTTTACTTGCGGGCTCATACGCGTAAATCCACGATTTATCCCCTGGCACGATGCCATAGGGGAGGTTTCGAAGCATCGTTTTCGTATTTTTTTTTTTTAACATTTCTCTCGACCAATCCACACTAGCCTTTTTTTGTGCGATTGACAAATTGTATGGGATCCTATGTGAACAATTTTTTTTGTATAGTAAAATGTTCTTGCAGTTTTGAATGTGTGCTAGTTCCACTAATGCCTATAGTTAGTTGTCTCAATATCACGATAGGTCACATGACGATCCTGAAATATTAGTTTGCGCACAGCATCAATAGTTTATGGAACACAACAACTTATTTTAGACGATTTTCACCATATTCGTGGAGTGATCTACCTGGATTGAATTCATCCTACCATCAAACAATACTGGCCCTTGATGGAGGTTCATCGCCAAAGATTTATTTAAGTGCATCATTGCACTATTGCTGAGTTAAGCTACGTCGAAAGTTGTGAAAAATACTCGCGATATAATACCATTTTTTGGCCGAGATGAATTTTTTAAGTTACTGTAAACAACACTAATAGCGCTCGTATGTTAAGACGTTCTGAATATGTATAATATCAAAAATGTCAAACTTTATGATAAAGTGATGAGTTGCCAGATTGCAACACTAGTATTGTCGAATCCCGAAATATGAAAGGCCACCTATGTAATAGTGCTGCATTAAATTCTTAGTCTTTTAATGTCTTTAATGCGTTAACTTTGCTTTGCGCTTTCTGCAAGTGATTTCTTACTCAGTGCTAACTATCAAGTATCCAAGTTTAAGCTTGTGACATGTCCTTGTCTTTGCTCTATGTGCCTGATATGTTACTGTGTGTATGTGTGTGGAGGTATCTTTTCAATTATGCAAATGTCACTGGCTGTGCGTAGACGTTATGTGCTCAAGGCACACCGGAAGGCACATAACTGTAACACTTCCTTGTTTCCTCCCACCACTGCGGCGGTAATCGTCATGGGTGAGCGATTTTTGTGTTGGGTGGCGCTGTATCATTCTTGATAGCAGGTGTGGCTGACAGTATGTAGACATATTATACATTAAATTATCCCTGAAAATGCATGTAAATGTGGAAGGAGCTTACAACATGCAGACAAGTGCGGTCTAATAGAAATCGTTAGAGCAAAAAATGTGAAAGTGTGTAATGAGAGTAATATGTTGGGACTGGAGTATGAAATATATTTAGATTATGTACAGTAAGCAGTTGAATTTTCCAATTTTAACCAGCTACTAGTATACTAGTATTTGCTTTTGCACTTAAATATGTTTAAAATGTGTATGTGTGGCTTTAGACTGGTTAGGTTTTATATTATTTTCTAATCTTTTTGTAGCTGACTTGTTTGCAAATTATAGTGGGACGCATAATGTATTGGAAAAATATAAAGTAATAGCTTACCACATTTTGTGATAGAAGTGCATGTATACATTTTAATGTACTCGTATGTATGTAAATAGAACAAGTGTAATAGAAAGCTGTTTGCTTTGATTTCACTTCATTGATGTTCTTCCGTTTTGATTCTGCTCTTAGCTTCTTTTAAGTTTGGGTTTTAAGCTTTTTAATCAAATTAAGTAAAGAAAAAGCAAAACAAAATTTTATTCTTGCTTATAATATCAAGATGGGTTGACCCTTGTACGCTAGCCAAACCGGAATGCATGACTTTGATATTTACTTTTCTCAAGAATATGATGAAAATTACTGTGTCAGAAGTGTTTGTATGTAAACTTTTGATACATGAATGAGCATTTACGGGTATATTAGGGTGGTTGTTATTTCTCAAGTTGATTGTTTTTTTGTAAACACCCATTGAATTTATAGTTTTAGTCCTAAAAATAAGAGTGCAACGTAAATAAGCTCTTTATATTTAATTTAGACGGTGCCTAAATTAATTTTCTTTTCTCATGTATATGACATGCGATTTCTTGATATTTTGCATTAAGAAATTAGATTTACAGCTTTAAAAAAGATATGTTCTTGTATAAAATTTATTGCTCTATAAAACAGGTCTTAATAGATTTTTTCATAAAATCTTTCGTTTAAAAGTTATACTCAGTTAAAGTTATACATCAATTCACTTGCGCATGCAAGTGCCTTATAAATTATATGTTACTCATACGACATGGTGTACTATATGAATACAGTACACTGGCTGCATATAGTAGTTCAACTTTGAACTTGAATAACTTGCGTTAAGATTTTTTTGAAAAATGTCACAGAAAGTTTTTGTAGAGCGTGCAATTTTTTATAAAAATAATTCGATGCCGCAGCAATATATTAACTGGATTCGCAAAGAAAAAATTAATTGCAAAAAGTACGAAAACCCTATGTTATTTAAATGGGATGGGTTATAATCAATATTGAGAACTCAAATTCATTTACTTAAAATTCTACGGGCGCTGCAGAGACCAAAATCACTTTGGAAAATAGCCTCTAACACCCTAGTAAACTAAAAGAATTGTAAGCAAACTAAAAATTTCGGTTGAAAAGAAAGAGTGCACACATATTTACACTCAAGCACAGTTAACACTTCAAAAAGCAGATATAATCAACAACAAAATCCATTCAACCATATACTCGTACTAAAAGTCATTTATATACATACTATTATATGTAAATACGGTGATAAAAATTCTAAGCTCACACTTATTCTGATTTGTTTTCTCGCTTTAGCAGATTTGTTTTCTTTTTTTTTTCATATAAAAATATTTGACGTTATTTTATACTCATTAAATACTAATAAGTATGCATAACTCATTTGAATAAATTTGTTCTCCTTCTCCTTGCAGAAATGTGCTGAATACAGAGCATCCGCCATACCGACATTTGCGCGCACAGAGCCGCCAGACACGCAGGTAAGCCTTTCTAACAGCCAAAAGAGGGGTAAAATAGAAAAGTTTCCGCCTAACGCACCACAAACTGCACGTCAACGCCAATCGAGAAAAGTGCTTGAACGCAAACGACGACGGAAACTAGTTAACTGCCGTCGCACGTGTCGTTCAAGTATGCGGCTTTTAGGCGCAAAAGTAAAAAAAAATATAAATGATACATACGTATTTGTGCGTCATCGTGCCAGACATTTGTTAGTTTCCATTGCTGGTTGTCAGGCGTCCAGCTGGTCATCATTTCTGCTTAGCAAGCAGCTGTGCAGCATTTGTGGCACTCGACGTGTCCTACACAGTATTCCGCTAAGCTAAACTCTTAGTTGGCTCAGCCTTTGAGTGCACATCCGTACATTTTCTGCGAGTATGTTGATGAGAAATTTATAATTGCTGCTCAGGCATAGCGAAGCACGTCTGACACTTCATCACCTGTCAGAGTCAACTCAAACTCTCAGAGCCAGCTGCGTTGAGCGTTTTTTTTGTTTTGTCCACAAACACTCGTATATGATTTTTCTAGTCTGCTCATTTTGAAGCGAAGAATATATGATTTGCTTAAATTTAATACCATAAAATCATGTTAAATGAATTTCATGGAAATCTTTTTGTAATGATATCGAGAATACGGCTGACTTAGGAAAATAATAGCACAACCGCAGGTATTTCTTCAGTAGCCGCTGGACGGTATCTAGTGAAAAGTCTTTAGACCTGAATGAATACTCACTTCCCAGGCAGCTCTGAAAAACCACACGATGGAGTTTACAGTGGGCAGTGGAGTAGAGACAGATTCCAGCCTTGTAGATATAGTGTCAGATAGTAATGTATATTGGGCGATAGGCAGTTTCAAGCCCTTCAGATAGTCGGCACCAGACGATATATTCCCGGCTTAGTTACAGCAGTCCCAGCTATATAATAACCTGTTTAACGATCATGCTCAAAGCTAGAACTTAAAAATGCTGCATTTGATGATATTTCACTGATAGGGCTTCACAGAATGACGAATTTTACAACCATTATTTTTTTCAACAGACTGCTTTAAAGGCCAAAGCTACATACATAATATACTCGTACTTAATATGAAGGTTTTTACGTTTCCACGTATACTATTTCATTACTTGATTTATAGTTATAAAATGTCTTCTGTTTATTAATGTCCATTTCCTTCTTCTTCTTCCTTCGCAACGCAGGTAATTAAGTCTGTAATTTCGCTATTGCGTTACTATGGCTGGAAGAAATTCTCCATTCTGCATGATGAACTGTGGACTACCGTCGCTGATTTGCTCAAAGAACAGGCCACCAAGAGGAATATGACAATAAACCATAAAGAGTCGTTTCTTACGAATATGCCAAAATGCTGTGCATTAGGATTGCCATGCTGTCGTACGAGTTTTTGGTATCAGGTGAGTTTCCAAGAGGTTTCTTGAAATAATACATTTAGTGGGGCCATTGCTTATATACATATTTTCTCAATTCCTGAAGCATACCTTTAGGCGAATCTGCTTTAAATATTAAATCTATGCTGTGCTTTTCACTTGTGTACTTTTTAAACAAGCAAATACAAATTTTTGAAGCAATAAGTTTGCAGTGTACTAAAATATTTTTCTTATAAACTTAAAATATTTACGAAAAAATTTTTTTTAAATTAAAATGCATGAGAAGTAATATAGCAAAAGTATAGTATTGAGCGTCTTCAAATTTTAGTGTTGTGGCAACTTGTTTCATGGAAATAATTACTTTCTGAGATTTCTTCTTTGAGTGCATTAAAAGAAATAGTAAATGGTCGAAACCCTGCACCATTTGTTTGTGAGCACGAGCTTAATTAATTAACTTGATTGCCGCCATTTAAACTTTTACCATTAAAACTAACGCGAAGTAATTCACAACTTGTTACTGTATTTGTGAAATTGTATTATGATTACCGTTATTATGTTTTCCTTTCATTTGCAGACTGTGCAAAATACAATGAATCGCACGCGCATCTACGTTTTCCTCGGTTCGGCGAGCTCACTGGTCGACTTTATGCTCTCCATGGAAACGGCTAATTTGTTCCTCAAAGGTGAATACATGGTCATCTTTGTCGATATGATGCCCTACACACCAAAGTAAGTAGCAACACACATAATAAATTGAAAAAATAAACGAAATTGCACTAATTCTTTTTAGAGAAGCCGAAAAGTATTTACGCAAACCGGACCATGTTGAGGCCATGAAGGTCTGTCACGAAACGGAGAGCTTCAAGCAGTTGGCGCGCAGTTTGCTAGTCGTGGCCTCCACGCCACCCACGGACAGTTATGAAGAATTCACGGCCAAAGTGCGTCAGTACAATGCCAGGAAGCCGTTCGATTTTCTTGTGCCATCGTTATTTTACCATAATAAATATCTTAAGGTGGGTATATATACACACACACACACATACACATACATACATACATACAAACGTATACATATATAAAAGCCGAAATACAGTTGGAAGTGCAAAATGCCAATGTAACAAGTGGAAAATTAGTTGAAATCAGAGTAGAGTTTGCGTTGACCTATGCCGGGTAACGGAAGTAACAGCAAATTGTAATAAATTAATACTGTACTCACTTCTGAGTTATAAGAATTCCTTTTCCTTTGAAGTAGCGTGTCATTTAATTCAATAAGCGTCTCGAGCGACAAAGGAATACAGTATTTGTAGTCCATTAGCACTTATTCCTACTTAAATAGCAGATACAAATACAGACACTCAAACAAGTGCGCAAGTAAAAAATATGTCTGCTATGCTAATTAGGCAATTTTGCGAATTTCCCACTAATGCGCTGGGCATACGCCTTCATCAAACAGATTAATTGTGAATGCCAAAAGCCATGTCAAAATATTTAAGGTGCGCCAGTGGCCAAGGAGCCAAGCAGACAAGTGAATTTTGTCTGTAAGCTGGTGTTTGTTGATTTTGCAGGCGCCTACAAGTATGCTAACAAGTCGTGTATAATGCCCTTTGGTAGGGGAAGAATGAGAGAGAGAGATTGAGAGAAAGAGATATATATAGAGTGAGGAGCGTGTATTCAATTAAAAACAATAGCGTGCTGTTACTTCTGCCACTCTTTTTTGTTGCCCACGAGCAACGAAAGCTCTTGAATATTTATGCACTGCAAAATTATTACTGTCATTTTTGTTTACTGTTATTTTCTTCTTTTTACACAGTTTGTTTCTATATATGCCGCTTACCTCTATGATTCCGTTAAGCTCTATGCCTGGGCGTTGGACAAACTGCTGCGCCAGGAGGAGCGCATACTAACGGATGATGTGATATACGATGTAGCTAGTAATGGATCTAGAATAATTGAGACTATTATCAAAAATCGTACTTACAGAAGTGAGTTAGCAGCAAAAATTAAATAATTATTAAAATATTTCGTTTATTTCTTAAAAAGTTGATGTTGTAATTTTCTTTGATTAGAAAATTAACAATTAAAATGGATTTTATAAAATTGAAATCAAACAAATTTTTTAAATAAGTCTATAAATATAATTTATTTTAAAATTTAATATAAAGAATAAGTTTTATAAAAAACTAAATTTATTTAATATAAGAACAAAAAAAATAAATAAATAAATAAATAAAAATTTTATAAAAAACTTAACTGTTTTAATATAAAAAACTTAATTTTTTTATTATAAGAACAAAAAAATAAATAAATAAATAAAAAATAAATTTAAAAAAATGTTATAAAAAACTTACTGTTTTAATATAAAAAAACTAAATTTTTTTATTATAAGAACAAAAAAATAAATAAATAAAAATTTTAAAAATAAATAAATAAAATTTTTATAAAAAATCTAACTGTTTTAATATAAAAAACTTAATTTTCTTATTATAAGAACAAAAAAATAAATAAATATATAAAATAAAAATTTTTTAAAACACTTTATTTTTTTAATGTAAAAACAAAAATAAATAAATAAAAAAAAAATTTTTTTGTTAGCATAAAAATTATATTTATTATAATTTTTTCTTAGTTTTTTTATAAAAAAATCTCCCAATAAAACATATCTTGCTGTCATTTAATTATTTCTTTGCAGGTATCACTGGTGCAACCATAAAAATAGACCAGAATGGCGATTCCGAGGGAAATTTCTCAGTACTGGCCTACAAGCCGCACAAGCACTATTTCAATGACAATGTGTCCTGCAACTCGCATATGGTGCCCGTGGCATATTTCCAGCAAGGGGAAGATATTCCAGTGAGTGAGTCGTCATTTTTTTTTAGTTTCTTTGCTTATGAGTTCAATTGCACCAAGTATTCGTTATATATTATTTACATCTATTTGCAACTTATTTGAGTTTCATTTGAAATCGTTCCTTTGTCGCTTAAAATTATTTTTCTTCTTCTTCTTACCATTTCGTTTTCGCAACATCTTCCCACCTTTTAGGAATACAAACTCATCAATGGCTCTGTGCGCGTTGATTGGCCCTCGGGCGGTGATCGTCCCTTCGACGAGCCGATGTGTGGTTTCGCTAATGAGCTGTGCAAAAAGGATGATCGACATATTACATCCGTGGTGGCGGCTGGGGTGCTTGGTTTGCTGCTATTCTGTGCTGGTGTCATCACAATGAGCATTTATCGAAAGTGGAAAATCGAGTTGGAAATCGAGGGTCTCTTGTGGAAAATTGATATATCGGAAATAAAGGGGTACTCGGGCAATGATATTGTCGCATCGCCAAGTAAGGTAAGTTTATGTTATAGAAATCAGTAGTTACAGTAATTAGAGCGCTTCAAGCAAAAGCATGAACTACTTAGTACTCAATCCAGGACACCCTGTCGTATGAGTAACCTTATTTTAACACAAGGAGGCCAAACCACATTTTTTCACTCATAATTAACAAATCAACACGTTGAGACTTAGTATTCTTAGTATTCAGATTATTTGCAAGCATCGAATTTTTTCAAGATTCGACAAGGGTTGATAATATGAAATTGTCTCTTCGCCAGAGGTACACATACATGCGTATGTAATGTAAGGTTTATTTGCGCTACGATACGCGTTTCATCAACTATAACACGTATTGTTGTTATCCTTTGGTTTTAACGCCGTCAAGTTAACATGAAAAGTGAACGTGAAATTTATATACGCACATTCTTCCAGCCACTCATGATGTGGTTTCCTTTTGTGCATCAAGTAATTTTTAATTAATCCGTTACGACAGCAGTTCTTCGATTGTCTTTCAGTTCCTTCCCACCATACACACCATACAACTTACTGCTTACACCGCTATTACTTTAACCAATACACACGCATCAGCGCAGATATCAATGTCAACAATGAGCCTACATTTTCATATGCATCTGCTGGCATGTTGCAACATTTACACTGCACACGTCCTGTGACAATTTGCTGCGTAACGGTCATTCCAGAAACGTGACAATTCCGTCACACCAGAACCACAGCCACTCAAGCATCTCCCGATCTGCATATTTGTTTACCCATCAACGCACACACACACTCAAGCACGTGCATTCTTACTTAAATTGAACGCCTGACTGTAGCCTGGAAGTCTTTGTAGAGCGGACTGTTTACTTGTTTACCAATTGGACGGACAAATGCCAACAGAAAACACGAGCAAGATATTGGTGCGTGCAAAATGTCACGTTGCCTTCGATAAAGTCGTTAGCATTACGTTGTGCCTCTTTTCTTCAATGTATGCTAAATCTCGTTATTGACTCGAGGCTTATGGCGGATGCATATCATGTGAATGCAGATTGCTTTTCTCGCTCGCATTTAAAGCCTATTTCCTTGTATTTGTTGAGGCTTTAAGTTATTATAGTCAGTTTTGGTGTTGTGTTCGTAAAATATGTCGTAAATTTCTTCGAGCGTATTTTTATTCGGCCAAGTACTGTAAAGTCTGCCAAAATATTTGGAATATACTTGCTGACGCTACAACAACTGGAACCAATCGACCAATCGGTAGCAATGCTTCGCCGATTATATTTTTCTGAACACTTTTTCAATGCCATTGAAACGAGCTAACCACATTCCTAACCACTTCTTTCACAGCCATCTGGCCAAAGTTAACGGCTTTCTGCTTCGGTAATTTCAGTTTTCCAACACAGCCATCGACAGAATTTTGCATGTCATCAAGCCAAGCACTTTCTAAAGTTTGGCAGTCCTTCTTTCTTTCATTTCTAATTTTCAGTCACGCCATTAGCAACCACTTCGTTTGAAACTCACTAACGTATCACACATTTCTTTCTATTTTTTTTTATGGTTTCGTTCACATGTCGTCGCTGCCGATGCTGCCGTCAACCAATCAACTAACCAACGAATGTTCCCCGCGCCGTACGAAAATCCATGCGAAATTTTCAACGTATCCAACATACACAAATGTCGTACACACGCAACAACAAACACGTGATATTGTCGGCCCAAATGTCTATGCAAACGCTAACCGCAATGCTGTCAATCGTCCAACCATCAATGTTGGCTCATTTCCCTAACGACATATGCTCCGTTAACTTTGCAACGACGTCTTTCTATTTACATCTACAAATGGCATTCATTGTTTCGGCTACAACAACACGTCCAACAGTTGAGTTTAGTGAGTGCCCAATCGTTTGGTTCGCGTTGCTCAAATCAAGTATTCACCTCGACGGCGCGCTTACGTGGCGCGGTCGTTCGCATCAAGGAGCTGAAGTTCCCCCGCAAGAGGGACATTTCGCGCGAGATAATGAAGGAAATGCGTTTGTTGCGCGAACTACGCCATGATAATATAAATAGCTTTATTGGGGCTTGTGTGGAGCCGACCCGTATACTACTAGTCACCGATTATTGTGCCAAGGGCAGCCTCTATGATATAATCGAGAATGAGGACATTAAGTTGGACGATCTGTTTATCGCGTCGCTCATACACGATCTGATTAAGGTAACACCAATTGGTGGCTTAACAACGCTCAACGTTACGAATGAAAAGTTTATATTTCAGGGCATGATTTACATACACAATTCGCAGCTGATGTATCACGGAAATCTGAAATCGTCCAACTGTGTGGTTACCTCGCGTTGGATGCTGCAAGTGGCCGACTTTGGTTTGCACGAGCTGAGAAATTGTGCGGAAAGTGAGTCCATTGGCGAGCACCAGCACTATAGAAGTAAGTGATACATGGTGAAAAGCTTCAATTCATTACCGATATTGCATCTTGCTTCTGAACGGCTTATGTTGTCTAAGATACACGAAGACAGATGCCAAATTGTTTAGCGCCCCGTGAGCTTCTAGAATGGGTGTCAATATCTAGTTTTTACTAAAGACCGTTTCTCGGCATTAATCACAAGAAAATCTTACTGTCTAGAACTAGTTTTAGGATCTCCTTATTTTATCTTTAGATGAGAGCTCGGACGGTCGATAAAGAAGATAGAATACTGTACTTCACCGATGTTAACGCAAACTTCCTCGAATGCTCATTCATCCTTCTAACATACTACTCTTTCTATTTTTAGATCAATTTTGGAAAGCGCCTGAGCTGTTACGCAATCCACACTTGTATGGCACTCAAAAAGGAGATGTTTATGCATTTGCCATAATTATGTACGAAATAGTGAGTCGGAAAGGTCCATTCGGTCAGGTAGCCTACGAGCCAAAGGAAATCGTTGATCGAGTGAAGGAGCTACCATTGGCCGGTAGCATACCGTTTCGTCCTGAACTGGAATGCATAAGAGAACACGAGTTGTGTCCCGACTATGTGCTTGATTGTATTAAAGATTGCTGGAGCGAGGATCCTGAGATTAGACCTGATTTTCCAACTATACGGTAAATATACAGCAAAAAGATCACAGGGAATTTCTAATATTAGCTAACACTTTTTACTACGGCTCGTTTAGCAATCGCTTGAAGAAAATGCGTGGTGGAAAGACGAAGAATATAATGGATCAGATGATGGAAATGATGGAGAAATATGCCAACAACTTGGAGGAAATCGTTACCGACCGTACTCGTATGTTGTGTGAGGAGAAGCGTAAAACCGAGGACTTGCTGCACCGCATGCTACCGCGCACTGTGGCGGAGAAGCTAACAATGGGTCAAGGCGTCGAACCGGTATCATACGATCTGGTAAGAGAATATAGCGCCCTGATCAGTATATTGAACTCATATTTAATATTTCTCTCTTTCTCTTTTAGGTCACTATCTACTTTAGTGACATTGTAGGCTTTACTGCAATGTCAGCGGAGAGTACACCACTGCAAGTGGTGAATTTCTTAAACGATCTCTACACGGTATTCGATCGCATTATTCGTGGCTACGATGTGTACAAAGTGGAAACCATAGGCGACGCTTACATGGTCGTCTCTGGACTGCCAATCAAGAATGGCGATCGACACGCCGGCGAAATTGCTTCGATGGCGCTAGATCTGCTGCATGCGGTCAAACAGCATCGCATAGCACATCGACCTAACGAAACGCTCAAATTGCGCATCGGCATTCACACTGGTCCCGTGGTTGCCGGTGTGGTGGGTCTAACAATGCCACGCTATTGTCTGTTCGGTGATACAGTTAACACCGCGTCGCGTATGGAGTCCAATGGCGAGGCATTAAAAATACACATATCAGGTAAATGTAAGGAGGCGCTTGACAAGCTTGGTGGCTATGTGACTGAGAAGCGTGGACTTGTGTCGATGAAGGGTAAGGGTGATGTAGTCACGTACTGGTTAACAGACGCCACAGAAAAGGCTATACAAAGGAAAGAGGTAGATATGACTGATATGCCACCGCCGCTGTTCTGTCGACCGCGCAAAAGTCCGAAGTTGAATAGTGATTCGCGCCAACCGAGCATCGTGGGAATGCACTTCTACGGTGGTGGCTCTCGGCGCACTTCAATGGTGCCACGCACCGATATCGAGTCTAATTATAGCCTACAAGGTTCCACATATCACGTGGCGCGCGATTCGCCGCACTTGTCGTCACGTCGTTACGATCGGCCGTCACTGAATGGCATTGGCGGCAACAGCATACCAGAGCGCATGAGTTACTATGGCGGCTATGGTGGCGCGGGGACTGGTGGTAATAGAAGTGGGAGTGTCGGTGAGACTTGCACGCTGCTTGAGTCGGCGCATGCATCGCACAACACGCTGGAGCATTCCGAAGACGAAACGAACTGTGATAATGAGTGCGTGAATGGTTATGGTGATGGTAATAGCGCAGTCAATAGTAGCGTAGTTGGTGACGTTGGCGGCATTGGTATAACAAGCATCGTGGGTAGTGCGCTGCTGGTAGGTGCACTCCGCGCGCCACATTCCGTTGCAAGCTCGCCCAGCCACAAGCCACTTGCCTTGGTGCGTCCACATCGTCGCATTATTAGCGAAAAGCTGCCCTCCTCCGTCTCTATACAGGAGTTTGGTGATATTAGCAGACACCCCACCGTCGCTCAAACTATTTTACTGCGCGAGACGCGCTCCCTTGATCCCATGCCTATGCAGCTGCGTAAACGTAACGAGCCCGTCAAACTACCGCCGTCCAAATTGTCGAAAAACAACTCGCGCTCCTTGGATGCTGTAGCAGCGCTCGGCATAAGGGAGACCAAGACCACCAAATTCGAAAACGCTAATGTAAATGGCCTCGCAGACGGTGAAGTGGATAATATGAGCCGCACGGCGTTCGATGATGTCAACGTGGATACAGAACCGAATAATTTGCATGGCGATGACTACGACGACGATGTTGGTCTACTAATGCGAGACAATGGTGGCTTTCGCTACGGTCATAGTAGTGGTCTACAGCCAAGCATAGTGCCCGTCGCATCCACGCTACTAAACCGCCGGCGTAGTAGCAGCCACGTTTCCACTACTGCCGGTGGCGGTAGTACCGTAAGCGGCGGGACTAGCGGTAGTGTCTTACTACCGTATAAGCATCTCAATAACAACTGCAACGGCGGCATGACCATCGAAGAGGACGTCCAGTCGCCACTACTGCAACGACAGACGTCCCTCACTAGTCCACCCGACGAAATATTGGCGCTTACAAAGCGTTGGCGTTCACTAGAAGCACTAGAGCACACCACTATCGAAGCCCTCACTACACCGGCGAACGCCAATAGTGGACGGAGCGCTGGTGGCATGGGACATACTGGTCATAACAGCGTTAGCTACGCACCGGATATCGACGGCAGTCATGCCTCAGGCTCAGCGGCAGCAGGTAGCACACCGACGACGCGCAACGGCAGCACATTCACGACATGGCTATGGCGCATCATTCAAGGCAACGGCAAGCGTTCGAACGAGGCGTCGCTGCGGCGCGTAAAGCCAAGTGGCGTGCATGCGCCGCACGTGTTTAATGACATGCCGACGACGGCGGCGTTAACGCGCGATCGTGAGAGTATCGTGTAGTGCACGCAGCAAACGGAAAGTGTACAAAGAACTAACGGTTTGAGTATTGTGTAATATTGTAACTGTCAGCGTGCATAAATATATATTATATATGCAAAAGTTTTGCAAAAAAAAAAATGCATGAACTTTGCGACATGCCACAGCCGTCACGCTACGCTGTTTTCCAAAATTAAAAAAATTACTTATTAATTTATTTATTTCCTGCATAAATTTACGCAATGACGCAATTGAAAGCAGCATGTTGGAAAAATCGTTTGTAAAAATTCTAACGGTTTAAGTGGCGTATAAATTTGTACGCGCTTATGAACTACGAAGCGAAATAAGACGCGAGCGTGCGGCTCTCGTGGCAACTGACAACTGAAGGTGTGTGACACAATGCAGTTGCAAAAGAAAAATTAATAGAGTTACTCTCAGGAAAATAACGTTTTTCTAACAAAAATATTTTTTTTTTTTTATTGGCAAATTGTATGTTACTTGTCTTGCAGATTTATTCAAAGTCACGCTGTAATTCAACAACAAAAAACTCTCCAATTTTGCTTATTAAAAATGTTTTGATACACAATATTACAACACCGTTATTTTTACATTCGATATTGTTGCACAGCAATTGCACATACTCAAAATTGCAACAAAAACAAAAGTGTAAATAAAGCGCAAACGAAATAAATGGAAGCAATCTGTTGCGTTTGTTTTTAGCTAAACAATATGCATACATATTTCTATTTATAACTGTGGGCGCACCGTCATTAACAGATTTTGAAAATATTTTCGATTTGCATTGCTACTTGTATATACATAATGTAATTACTATTTAAATTCACTGTAAACAATTTGGAGAATTTAAAAATGCTTAAATGTAGTATTTGATCTCAAACAGTACACGTAGCACACTACCTACATGCATATGTGTGTTTATACATATATATATGCACAATATATATTTATAGCACTGTGTCTAACGCAAAACCGCTTAACAATTGGAACCCTACAAAGAACACAATTTAAAAGAAAAGCAGAAACTAAAATTAATTGCAAAAATAAATATTAAATATACAAAATTACAGCTTTTCCAACTGTATTTCACAAAAGCGCACATGTTTATAAATGGTTTAGTGAAAATGTATATAAAAATCAGGGGTGTTGTGGAATCCAAGACAGATTTGCGTAGTTGTCAGAATTGCAAAACAATTTCAATGGGGATTTTCAATGGTGTCACAGAATCTGATTGGATTTTCGTTTTTTCGTACATAAGCAAAACCAACATATGAATCAGCTGTTTACTATTGTGACAAAACTTGCAAATGAATAAATTTGAAAGCGTTTGATAAATTTGAAAGATTAAATACACGCTACTAAAGTTTACAATGAATTTCGCTATTTTAGCTTTTATTTTAGTGTAAGAAAAAAACAAAGAAAAAATTTAAGCGAAGATATTAAAAGATCACATTAATCCATTTGATGCACCAGGCGTGTCGCATGTGAAATTTGGCTTGCATTTACTTGTATGTTTGTAGACATGGTTACTTTACAGTTTTATATCACATTATCGAATGAATAAAGACGGGTTTTTTGTGTTAAATTGCGTTTATTACGTCTTGTGAAAGACTCTTAAAATTACTGGATTGTTTCTGTCAACTCAATAACTATGACATTTTGTATTTTATTATTATGTTTTTCACTATAGAAATAACGATAAATTAAATCGTAACAATTATATAAATTATATTCTTAACTTACATTTCAAATATATCAGCGAATATCTTCTTGTTTTGCTTCTGATAACAAAACCGATAAAATTGTTTTCCGTGACAGCCAAAACTGATACAATTTCTGTTTCAAATCAATAATAACTGAATTCATGCCACCTACTACATATTGTTTTTTTTTTATCGGTTTCAATGCTATTTCCGACAACTATCAAATTCTACAACACCCCTAAATGTATTTTTGTTGTATTAATTGTTGTAATTGTTTGCATACAATGATTTGTGCTTAAGCTTACTATGGAGTGCTTACAACTGAGTTTACGTTTACATAAAGTAACAAAACGCTGCGTTTAAGAAAAACGGTTGGCAAAGCGTTAATTTTATTAGAAATAATTTCAATGTACATATCTAGTCAGCCGACACCAGACTAGTTTTGGTAAAAATTATTTGAAAATTAAAGTGAAACTTAGATAAAAAAATATTAATTTTGCAAAACAAACAGCAAAAATTGCAATGTTGCAAATGCAACTAAGCATAAATTAATTGCATATGCATGCGTAATAACTAAAACAAAAAAAAAATTATTTATACAAACTCTGCTTTACATGTATTTGTGCACATATATATATTTTGTGAGAGCAATGCAACTTGTTTAACGCAAATGGGTGTATAACTAAAATTGTCAACGTGGCACTTGCACTTTGTGGCAGCGCGCAATGTTTTGTATATTCGTTGTAAGCTGCAAAATTTATAAGACTTCTACACCAAACAAAATACACTTTAATCAAAAAACAAAAAAAAAAAGGAAACTACATTTTAAGAGCAGTGCTGTTAAATTACTAATATTAAAAATAATGCTGAAAATGCGAAACATAAGTTTTATTTATAAATAAAAATGTTTATTAAATTAAGTTTGTGTATGTGTGTGTGCGCGTGTTTAGCTTTAATGTTTATAGTTATATAATATATAAAATGTAAAAAACCACAAGTGAGGAGATGTTCAGGCTGAGTTTTGCGCGTGCGAGTGTGTGTGTGTGTGACTGTGTGCGCGTGAGTGTACTATCATATCTATTAAATATATAGTTAAAAATAAATTACATATGTACATATATATATATGTATATATAAATGCAACTGCTAATTTAATAGCTGCACAAATTTATTTAAAATACGAAAACAACATAAATGCATAAAAAAAATTATATAAAAAAAATTAATAATAATTATTGAAAAAAAGTGTTGTATTTAATTATTAATATATATGTGCGAGTATGTGTAAATAGAAAATAGTAACTATTACAATTTAAAACAACACATATAACTACATCAAGTAAAAGTAAAAGCTAGTTAAGTTTTTGTAACAATTACAACTAGCGCTCTAACTAAGCAAACAAGTGCTGCAACTGTTAGTAGAAATGCACGGCGCAGCGTAGCGTGAGACCCTGCCATGAAACGCTGCGCGCGGCAATTCACGCGGTTGCGCTTTGCATGTAGACCTATGCAGCCGTGCAAGTGCCGTTATCAAAGTGAGAGGACAAATTTAAAATGAATGTTATTAGCGAATCACATACATATGTATGTATGTACATAAAAGCGAAAATAAACTAAATATTTATAAACTTTAACCAAAAATGCATTAAAAAAACTAAAAAAAAAAAAACAAAAACAATTGCATGAAATGGCAAAATGTTGTATATGCGCAAAATGCTTTCAAACGCTACAACTGAGTTGCGCATGCGCAATAAAATTGTTGGCATGTGACAACATTATTAACTTAAATAGCGCTGCAAAACTTAGGCTTGCGTTACTACGTAACCGCGTAGTTGCCAATTTAATTTCTTAGCCTGTTGCTCTTTATGTGTCCATGCATTAGTCACTTTGCGCACAATGTAAATGTTGTATATTTTTTTTTTGTATTTATAAAAAGTATGCTAAACAAAATATAGAATATATAGTGACAAATATAAATAATTAGTATATTTTGTATGTATGTATGAAAATGTATATTATTGTTTTCTAGTTTTAGTAAATGCTGCAAAGAAAATTGTTGCATCTAAACAAGCGAAATCACGAAACAAAAACAAAAATAAGCAAAAAACAAAAATACACATAAAAGTAAAAATAAATAAATAAAAGTAAATGCGCAAAATATAGCAAGAAATGCAAAGGAAAACTATTCTACATGTATTGTCTGTTGTTGTAGTTATTAGCTGTTTATGTACACAATTGTAATTAATTTAATAAATTACCAACCTTCAGCTTCCTAAAACACATAATCAGAATCAAGAAATGTAATAAATATCTATACAAAAACAAACAAAAAATAAAAATAAAAACAAAAACATGTTTACAAACGTAACTACCTAAAAATATTTAATAATGTACATTAACAATAGCGCAAGGTAAACTCTATTATATATTGTATATTGCATATGTATGTGTATGTGAAGCGCACAGCAGAAAACAAAGTGAGTTACTAGTAAATAATTAAAACTATATATAAATTCATGTTGAAGCAGCAAAATATAAAAATAAAACATTAATTGCCATATTAAAAATAATTAATTTAAACAACTGTAAAAAAAAATAAATAAATAAATAAAAAATGAGTTGAATAAAAATGAAGTATTCTTGCTGAGCTCTTGCATTGAGAATTGTTGGGTTTATTTTGTCTACCAGCTGGCTTTGGTTGCACTGCACATAGTTGAATTTCAAACCTTACTTCTGAAAGCGTGCAGGTTTCCAAGCTCCACATCAGCTTCAAAAATTTGCAATTGCATTTGCGGTAAATCTAGACTTCTGCGTTAAGTTCGAATCTCTAGACGGACGCATCTGTGCAACCATTTAACTGCAATATTTACGGAGATTGGCTGCTGCAATCAATGTTGGTTTTCCAAGCAGATTGGAGCGATAGATCTTGTAGTTATGTAAAAAAAATTGTATAAAACATCAATACTGCCAACACATATTGATTTAAGGTGGCATACTAGGGTGGAACGAAACAATTTTTTTTTTTACTTAGCCTAAAGGTCAAATTTGTAGTTTATAAAAAAAGAAAATTTTTGGAAAAAAAATTTTTAACATCTTACTTTTAAAGTAAAGTTTCGAGTTAAAATTTTTATTTCGTAAAAAAAATTTTGGATAAGTGTTCTAGAAGCCGTGTAGAGTCCACTTGCTAGCCATTTAAAAGTTATCTACTTAAAAAAGTTGTTTGTGGTAGTTATTGGAGTTTAAAAAAAAAGTCTTAAACGACAACATGCTTTCTTTAAGCCTTAAAATAAATTTTGAGTCAAAAATTGTCAAATCCGTTTTAAAATGAAGTAAGAACGACTATATGACATTTCTGTTGGCGTTATCGGCATTTATCGAAAATAAATCGGTATTCTTTTATTCCATTTAGAAACAGTCGATCTTTGTTGTTGTAATAATTGAGAGCGAAATAGAAACGAGCGCGATTATTTGAAGTGAATATACTCGTAATGATTTGAATATGAATTATTGTTCGAAAAAACTCTGCGTATGCCAAAGATTTAAGAAAGCAGATAAACCCATTGAATTTCGATATTTTTTGGAGGGCTATTTCAAAAAGAATCATCATTAATGCATCTTAATGTTGCGGCGAAGACGGTTGGCATAAATTAAATAAAATTGCATTTTTATTTCTATAAAAGTGTTTAACACTTATGTATGTATATATTTGAGGTATGGAAGGATGCAAAATTCAAAATAAAGAAAAAATGGTACACAACAAATCCGATGCAAGAGCCACATGAGGAGGAGTTATTATTATTATTATTGTCTTATTTATAATGTACTTAAATTCACAAAATCGTTCAAATAATTTCTTCAAAACAACAAATTACAGCGTCTGATGAAAGGGCGCTATTGATCTGGATTGTCGAACTAGTCTTTCAGCGCTTGAGATATCGATCTGAAACTTTCCACACGTTCTTTTCTCCTTAAGACGCTGCTCATTTGTCGAAACCGCCGATATCACTCCCTTAAAAGTTATACGCAATTAAAATGAGAAACCAAATGTGCTGAGAATTTGGAAAAAAAAAAAACTAAAACAAAAACAAAAATCAACTTGGGAAGTAATGAGCACCCAATTTTATAGCTTTAACTGTAGTTGACATAAAAAATTAATCAACACTTCGAATTTTGTAATTTAATGTACAAGGTATCTTTATTATGTATGTATGTATGTATGTATGTAGGTATGTACATATATTTATGTATACAGTTCGCTACCAAAAACATATTAATACTTAAAACTAGATCTTTATACACATTTACGACTCGTGTACAGAATTTCGTTTACTTCATAACCAAAAAACATTCATCAGACGCGCGTCTCATAAACACAACTGTAAGGCGGTAAGAAAGAAAAACGAAAAAGAGAGGAAAATATAAAGAAAAGGTGAGAAAAATTCTGAATTTCATTTAACTACAACATTTTATTACATTTTATTTGTATAACGGTATTTTTACATTAAATACACAGCTTACTTCAGTTGCAAAAGCTTTATGCTCGATTAACAAAACTAACAAAATATTAAGTGTGAACTAATATGTATGTATGTATGTATGTATGCATATAATAAATCTGTAATAAATTTGCTTTCTTTCGTAGACAAATGTACGAACTGCCGAACTTTAGTATGAATTTGTAAATGAGTTAACAACAAAATGTAATAAGAATTTGCAAAGCTTTTGTGTTGTTTAGAAATTGCACGAGTGATTTCAGGTAAGTATGTATGTATGCAATATTGTTCCTTTTAAGTTAGTAGTTGGTTTAGGAGCTGCTTTAGGTGGCAAACAATATTAACGGTACATACAGTAAAAAGAGCAAATGCTTTAACAATGGAATGAGCGGAAGAGAGAATAACTAAAGTCAATGTTAGTATGAGAAATGCACAAACCCTTAAGGAGAGGAGTTTGCTGTTTTTGAAAAATAACAACACAATAATCAATACAAACGAAAATTATACATTTTCTTACCTAACCAGAAAAAAGGTGATAGTTTTAGCAGCAAGTAATTTATTTTTGCATCTAAAAGCGAGCTGCAGCAGTCCATATCAACTGCGCTAATAATGAAAATTCCTGCTTTATCAAAAATGTATAACAACCACGCAATCTTATGTTTTAATATCAAATTTTTATGCGTGCATCTTAGTATGTGTTTAATTATTGTCAGCGTTTTTCAACTTTTCTCACACGAAAAAGAGTGTAATGCATACTTTTAGGCGCTTAAACACTACTTTCAACTATAATAACAAAGTTTTGTTTTTAGAAATTTTGCGTCGAATCTATTTCTATTATTATTTTTTTTTTTTTTGTTTTATGCCAACACGAATATACAAACAATATTTTCTTTGGTTTTAAAAATTTACTTGTAACTTTCTCAGTAAAAAGAATTTGTTTTTTCAAGCACTAAAACTAACAAAACAGGCGTAAGGTATTTTTGCCAGCATTGTGTAAATCTACATGGCAATACAGTGTACTTTTTAGAAGCTTTGAGACAACAGCAATTATTTAAACAAAACTAAAAGTTGTTTCTTGAATTATTATTCATACTTTTACTAATTTTAAGACGCATTACATGTGCCTATATAGGCGTTACTTTAGTCCCTGATTCTATATTTACAAATATATATTCTAACATATCCCAACTTTGAAACTAGAACTAAGCATTTTACGCAAAGTTTTCGTTCCAACCTAAGAAAGTTCGATCTGCATTAAATGACATGCCACAGCTGTTCGAAATGCAACTTTGTGAATTCTAGTAATGAGTTACAAATGTAACGAGTATGAGACACATACTTAAATGACATCGCAGCTGTAAATGCAAAAACGATCAATCGTATTTTGTAAAAAAAAAATAACTTTCAAATAAACAAAATTGCACCTAAAATCACTTAAGCGTTATTAACAAAAAAGAAAAAAATATACTAAATAACTAAAATAACAATAAAAATATTAATATACAATTAGATCAATGCATGCGATCAAAAATGCCTGCGAATATAGCAGCACAGCTCAGCAGCGTTGGCGTTACAGCATACATTCCAAGCGTCAGCGTTCGTTAACAGTTCGTTCGTCGCATTCGTCAGTACAGTATCAATTTAGTGTACATCATCAATATCGTTATCATTAACATTCAATCACTTGATAATACTCGTTAGACTGGTGTACCCTGAGGGGCCGTTGCTGCCACCAGCACTGCCGCTGCCCACCCGACAACGCCCACAGCAACAAACTTGGCGTAGCACTTCCAGCACACCGTTCCCATCAAAGTCATCCATGTTACTCATAAACACACCTGACGTTAAGTCCTCCTCTGTGCGCGTGCCCACAAATGCCTTTAGATCCGAAATCGGAAAGCCATCACGATAATAACACTTGATCGTGTCATAGGCATCCATGATGACCGAGATGAATAGCGACAACACAACGTAGATGTACAACGAGATGAAGGAGTACAGGTAGATTTGACAGAACCACCACAGCCAATCGGCCTTGGATGAGAGCGTTGCGAAGGTGGCGAACATATCGTCACCATTAATTAACGAGAACAGACACTCCGAGGTCGTGGCGAGCGAACGGAACTTCATGTGGTATGGGCCGAGTATAAGCCAACCGCAGAATGTGAAGCCGGCATAGATGAGCAGCGCTGCTAGTAGGAAGCGTAGTATCTTGGGTGCGGCACGTTTTAACGTCAATATGACCACGTTGTATGTCTTGAAGAAGCCCAGATAACGCAACACGCCGAACCACACAAGCAGATTGCCTACGCCCAGGAAGAGTGAGCAGGTGTCCCACTGATCAACGACAAGGAATTTCCGTTCGATTTGCTCTTTCAGTGACGAACCGATTATGAGCAGCAAGTCATTGATGATGATCATCACATACCTAGACAAAAATAATTATAATATAAGAAAAGAACGTTTACTGTTTTCGTAGCAACTCACCAAAAGTTCACAAACTCCATGCGCCCCTCGAAGCTCAGCTCTTTGTGGAAATGCATGCGAAAGAAGTTCACCGTCTGGCAGCGCAGCAAATAGGCACGATAGAGCGCGCGCGAGCACAGCGCGAAGGACAGCAGGCACACCAACAACACTAGTATATTCAACATGCTACGCAAAGCCTCATCGAACTCCGCGCTCGAAATGAATTCGATGTCACCTCTGCAGCGCAAGCGTTGCGCATCCGCATCGAGCGATAGCAGCATTTGGCCGTCGTGATCGCGGTTGTCGAAGAAAATCGTCACATCGAACTTGAAACAATCGGGCGCAGATAGCGGACCACCGTACGCCTTAAAATTCACCGTTTTAATGGCGAACACCAAAGACGCTTTCACCAGCGACGAGAAGCTCACCTCAACGCCATTCTGCTTGAGGTACGCCTGTACCCCGAGCGTTGTCACATTTGGCGGTAAATACAAACAGAACTCGGTTATGTCGGGATTGAAGATGTACGACTCATTGAAGCCGAATATTGTGCCCTCGCGATAGTTGTAAAGGCAGAGGTGTAGGGGTGCCATCTCATTGTTTTCGGTCGGGTAATCGTAGGGTCCGATGGAACGACTTATATTGGCATAGCCGCGCACGGCATAATCAATGGTGTTGTAAAAATCGGATTTTTCATACAAGGCGAAAGGGCCGACCGATGGTGGATAGGATTCCACTTCGCGCGAGGAGTCCCAACCGCGCAAGAACAGATGCGAAAAGGCTATGCGATTATCCCAGGTGTAGTTGATGTGATTGTAGCGGGAATGCGCGAAAAGACACAGCTGCATGGTCACCAAGACGATCTTCACCACCTGCAAGTAGTATATAAATATAAATATTTGTGCATCAATAAATATTATTTAAAAGACAGCGATGTGTCAAGATGGTCTGACGTCACTCAAATTTATTCTCAAGCGTACTTTTTTCTACACATTCCTACCAACAACCGCATTCACGATTTTACATATGTTAGTGTACGAGTATATAGGTTTATAGTATCGTAGCACACATAGTATCAAAGCATACGGATTTTCAGCTCATTTAATTGATCTGTGAATGCTTTTCATTCAATTAAATCGTTTAATTGTCTCATTTCTCACAAAAGTTATTTAAGAACAAACATACATATGACTATGAGTGTATTGGTGCAACACTATAAGCACAACACAAAATGTATGTGACGCCTACGACTTTCAGATTGAATATTTCTCTAATAAACGATTCTATTATATTTAGCTGAATCCATCTTACACATTGTTACGTAATGAATGAAATATGTTTTGATTCTAAAGAGAAATAAAATTATTTAACTTCAACTCAAGAAAAGTTGAATATATACATATAATACAAAAACTAATTACAATTATTTAAATTACTGAGAAATTTAACGTAATCACAATGATTTATACATCACTCGCTATTAGGCATATCAATTACGATAAGATTTTCTATCAATTTGGCTATTCATTATAAAAGCTTTAGGCAAGGTGTCAGTTCGATGACAAATAGCGCTAATACGTCAATATAATATGGGACTGATACTTTTTGAAAAAAGTTAAAAATAATTTATTATTAAGAGGTCTTGTGGAATTCAAGACCGATTTGCGTAGTTGTCAGAATTGCAAACCAATTCTGATTTTCAATGGTGACACAGAATCTGATTGGATTTTCGTTTTTTCGTACATAGGCAAAACCAACATTCGCATCAGCTGTTTACGATTGTGCCAAAATAGGCAAATGAATAAATTGGGAAGCGTTTGATAAAATTAAATTTACATTTTTAAATACTGAATAAAGTATACTAAATTTTACAATGTGTTTCGCTATTTTAGCTATTATTTTATTGGAAGAAAAAAGCAACGAAAAAATGAAAAGCAAGGTGTTCTAGAATCTGATAGTTGCCGGAATCCATTGTATAATAGCAAGTGTGACTTTAGTAGTAGAATTTTTGAGGCAACCCGTACCAAGTGCGCCATTTTTGCGTGTGTATTAGGGAAAGTCTTAGGTTTGGTTACTTGTAGATTTATACAATGCCGGAATCAGCATTGAAACTGATAAAAAAAAATGTAGTAGGTGTCATGAATCCTAATATTATTGGTTTGTCGTTCGAAACAGAAATTGTATCGATTTTGGGAGTCACGGAAAACAATTTTATCGGTTTTGTTATCAGAAACAAAACAAGAAGATATATCGTTATTTCTACAGGGGAAAACATAAGAATAAAGCACAAAATGTCATATATTATGTTCGCACCGAATTGAAATTCTCTTGAAAACACAATTTGTAGATTGTGGAACCAAAGTCGTTCTTACCAACATTGTGTGTTTTCGATGAGTTTTCATTGACAGTTCACATATTTATTTGTTTACATTTGTTACGTACGTTTAGGCCAACGAGAATAGTAAGTTTTAGAATTTTAAATATTTGCTTACAATTATTATTGTTTGTGTTATAGAATTCCGAGAACAAAATTTTAATTACGAAATTATTGGCTTGAGAAGCCGGACAAATTTCTTGCGCAATGTTATTGAGTTGATGGAAAAAAAGAAGATGTTTTAACAGGATTTACAAAAAGTAATAAACGTTATTTCACACCCAAATGCGTCTTTATTCAGTCGATAATGTGATATAAGTAAATCTATAAAGTAAGCATGTATCCAAACATACAAGTAAATGCAAACCAAATTTCACATGCGACTTGCCTGGTGCATCAAGTGGATTACAACGCAAATCTGTCTTGGATTCCACAACACCCCTGATTATGTTGAAATCGAATTCATTTAATTTTCGAACTCTAATTTCCATACTGATAAACTTTTTTCGAGAGGTCGCTTTCATTAGTATCAAAAATACTAGGGTTGTCACATATTTACTTTACTGTCTCATTTGTATGTATATATTTTTATACAACACATAAATGCTGGTTCAATTTCTTTATCTATTTTAATTTAAAAGACTTAAAGCATTGGAAAATTATTATAAGCAATTGAAACTATCGCCAACACATTTTTAATGAAAAAATTATAATTTAAGGAAAATTACTTCAAGTATACTGAAGATAACAGTAAATATCTGATCATTAGACACAATTTAATTACAATATAAATATTATTTGAAACTCGTGATTCATGTGCGTACATACCTACATACAAGCATGAGCATGTTAGTAATTACTAATTAGCTAAAAATAACAATGAAAAAAGTTTATTTAACTAATTGTTTATCTTAAACTATTCTAAGACTATTGTCTAACCGTAAAAGAGCGCTGCCGAACAAAGCTAAATGGAGTGCTTGTTAGTTGACAATAAATAAATAACACAGGGAGATAACGAAAATGCGCATGTAACTGGAAAATTATCTACTTAAATCGAACCTTAAGTTTTTTATAAAAATAAAATACTTTAATAACAGCCAGTATTTTCGTAGAAAATTAGCACTGACCAGCAAAAGAAGGAACATTTGTACAAAAACGCATATACAATTTAAATATAGAGACAAAATATGACAGCAAGCGCTTACGTAGCCACACATATATATGTATGTATGTACATGCGTCTGTACGCCGCGTAGTGGCATGTAGCGTTTAGTCGCATTTGACTCACAAAGATAATGAAGAACAAACTCTACATTTAGTTCACGTTTGCGATCGCCATTACTTGCGCCGCAAGCAAAGTAGTATTTTAGATTAGAAGTGATATAAATATTTGCACATATTCAAAGATTACATACATTTGATGTTCTTGTTGTTGTAGCGGCAGAATTCTACAAATTGATAACACTTAATGCTTGGTAAAATATGGTCTGCATATGCATCACATGACATTAAACTCTGACTAATTGTTTAGGTTGAGTTAGTTTTGAGATTACATGGAGGTTAATTTGTTGGAAAAAGTTTACAAAATACATATAATGCTATAAAATCATATTCAATACTTGACTGCCATTTTCACTTTTTAAGTAAGTTTAAGTATGCCTGCATGTATGAGTGTACATATGTATGTATGTAGGCATGTATCATACCACTGAGTCATTCACAGGTGTGAATTATTTAACTCAAGTTTACACAGACATGAATTTTTTAGTATTATTTAGTATTTATTCGAATTATTAGCTTATTTTAATAGGTTGCACATTCATAAACTGACAAATTCATTTAGCATAGCCGCACAGTGATAGACAGCAAAATAACAAACGAAAAATGTTTGAGAGTTCAAAAAATTGTACTGAAAATAATATATATGTATATACATATGCGGAACGGCTGATTTTGACATAATGGGGCCAATTACTTTTGACAAATTGTTGTTTTTGGGCTATCGACACAACTTTATATAATTGAATCTTGTAATCATATGTATAAATTTATCGAACGATGCTACGAAAACCGGCAGCGAAGCTGAATCCATGATGCGTTTCCACGACAGTCGTGTCTACGTAACCGGAATGGATCCGGATTTTATTCGGCCAAGGATTGTCAACTCGGCAGCATTCTGCCGCTACAACAATAACAACATGTATTCTGGATTTTTATTCGGGCAAGAACTGCCAACTCCTCAGCATTATTTATAATAATTTGTGGACTGTTTTATGCCGTTACAACAACTACAATACATGAGCTTGAACTACACATATGTACATATAGGTGTGTATACATATGTAAGTATATATTTGTGAAAAATTTACAACAACGTATGTTTGTGTGTTATATCATATTCAGCTTTTTGGCATTTTTTGTTGTATGCATGAATATTGCTCATACTGACGATTTTTTCTTCGTTTAAAAAACACTTGTTCTTGTTATCAATTACCTTTACGCAGCAAAAAAAGAAAGCGCTTAACAAACTAATTTGCAATCCAAAGCTCGAATGTCGGTTTCAGTTGCATTGAACTGTTGGTTTTTCAAAATGTAAATACATATATACAATTTACTTGTGCATATTTGTGTGTAAATTTGTGCATTCATGAAGTAATACATGTATCATCATTTATATTCAGCGAATGTATGAAAGTGTTTATATGAAATTGCGGAGAATTGTACATACAAGTATGTACATATGTATGTATGTAGGTGCATGTAATCATTCGTAAATTTGTTGTTGATGCATATTGAGACAAAAGTCATGCTTTAAACGCCAGTTTTATTATTGTATATTGTTGCTACATACATACATATTTGCATGCCTACAATTACCAATGCATGATGACAATTGAACAATGCAATCGTATTTAAGGAAAAGTTTCAATTTGAAAGGTGGGCGGAGTGTATGAAGTCACACTTAAGCCAGACATATTTAAATTGTGCATGAGCTGCGGCAGTTTAAACAAAAGGGGTAAGAAGCAGGCAATTAACGAGTGCACTGTAAATATATATATATATATATATGTATATACATATTTATATGTCGTGTCAATAAACCGAAAGAGCAAAACATTTTTGTATGTGCATTTTAATATTGCAATTATTACGTTGAGTATTTTGTTAAAAATATCTACTTATATATGTATATATGTGTAAGTGTGTTAAGATATAATCATGCTATAAGAAATTTAACATTCGTTGTAATTGTCATCAGCACTGTGTAATGCGATATGGGAAAAAATGCTAAACAATAGAATGCAAGAGAAAAGAATAAATATTTTTATATGTATATTCTATATGCAGCTCCTTTTTTGTACATATGTACATTGTAGTGAGCTGTTTTTGTGGATTACATTGCATCTTAAAATCCCCGCCATGAAATATTTAACATTTTAGCATTTACTTGATTATTCATATGCACTTGAATTATCACACAACACATATTCGATAAACACTTCCTGTATCCAAATATCATTTCGGGTATGTACATATACCAAATTAAAAGCAAACTTAAGCGGTATAAACTTTCCGGGTTTCTATGAAAACAACTTTTTATTATGCATTAATTTACTACATATATATAATATATCAACTACAAGGGCATATTTAATTAATCAGCTATCATTTATGGTGGTGGGTTTTGAAATTTCTTTGTAAATAATGATTACCGTGATTATACTGCAGAAGTTCAAGTTTTGGTAGACTATGTCAAAGCAGTACATAAATTTCTCAAACATTATCACTTTCATACTTATTACTCAACGCGGACACGAATTTTAATTTAATTAGCATATGCAGCTTGTTTACAATTAAGTTTTATAAACAAAATTGGCTTACCTGCACCACGAATTTGTATGGGAACTTGCGACGCGCATGCCACTTCTCGATGGGATTCATGAAGAAGAATTGCAATTTTCGTCGCATCCTCTCTTCGTTGTAAGAGGCCATAGGCGAAGCACCTTCCATGTTATTGGAGCCTGAAGGCTGTTCATTGCCACTCTGTTCTGCACCATTTCGTGTTGTGGAAGGCGCGATATTTATGCCACCAACTGCCGCGGTTGACCTTGGCTGATTTCTGTCATCATCGCTTTCACAACGCGAGTTTTCACCGCTGCTTTCGCGCCTGCTGCTTCCACCCCGAATCACTCCACCAGCACCACCTGCGTCATGGTCTACCTGCTGATGTACGTTGCTGTTACGCAGCGTTGCGTCATAGAGATTTGTTTGGGGCTGTTCTTGTATTGGTAGTTGTTGGGGAGCAGCTGACGCTGTTGCTCCACCGTAACTCTGCATCTCAATGCACTGCAAGAGTGTTTACTATGAGGTGGAGTTTGGCGATTTTTTCCTTTGCATTCACTTGTAGCAAAAGAAAAATCACCAAATTTTTTGTGTTAGTTTGTACTTGTCACTTGTTCACAGTGTAATCGCTTTTTTCACTTGCGTGCACGTTCGAATAACTTTATCAACTAATTTGCGAAATCAATGAAAATTTAGAGACAGCACTTCGTTTTGTTTTTGAAGAAGCAGCAGTAATCGCACTTTTACGTATCTTCTATTTTCCTGCCTTTGTGTTTTGATATGAAAGATAGAATAATTAAGCGAGATGCGGGGAAGAGGAATATATTCGAAAAAATTATATTTGTTTACAGACTTCGAAAAACTGACATTTTGTGCGAAAAAATCGAAAAAAGCATTGCTGCGGTCCAGGGTGTAACACGGATTCAATTTCGGCATTTATTTAAAAAAGTTGCTTTATATGGCTTCTTTAACTATCTAAAAATACATACGTATTATTTTTAGAATGTAAATAAATTATGTTTAATTGTTCACTCCATAAATTTATTTATATATAATGGTGTACTTTATCTTACTAGTAAACAATAGATGTCGCTGTAAACGGCTGCACGGAAGCGATTTGTCATATTCGCATATCTATCTACCGCCTTTTATTAATTGCCGGTTATTTATAAGAAATTTATTCGTACAATCTGCAATACTTATTTTAACGCATTAATATCGGTGTATTGATTGATTGATTAATTTTTGAGGTATGCACCGCGACCTACGGTCTATTGTGCCCTCCCCTAAGTCATATCGTGTCATCTAGGCCCAGCATATTGATAAATTCCAAAATTCTGCTGGGTGCTAGTGAGGCGATACAATCCCTGTGTGGAAACATGGATCCCAGGGCCTTTGTTCTGCGTCTGCAGACTGCTGTGCAGTTCATCAGCAGATGTTCGGGGGTTTCCGGCTCTATGTCGCAGAACCGGCAGTTTGCAGAAGAGGCTATGCCCATGTTAAAGAGATGCTTCTTGAGCCTGCAGTGGCCGGTGTAGAACGCTACCAGTAGCCGGAATTTGTTCCTTGGGAGATTAATTATGGCATTGAACCGCTTGAGGTCGTAACCCCCCATTAGCAGTCTGGCATGGTGCATGCCCTGGAGTTGTTGCCAATATATCTCCCTGTCTGCTCTTTCCTCCCTGCGGAGGAGCTCTTTGATGGTATGTGGACCAACCGCACCAATAAGGTGCACTCGGTTGTGCTCAGATAGGCTGTTCAGCCGTTCTATACATTCCATCATTAGGAGAGATCTGACCTCATAGGCAGAGATCGCTCTTTGTGCCGACTGACTATCGCTGAGTATAGCGATACTTTTATTGCGATAGTTGCGTTGGAGATTTATTCCTACACACCGACTTATAGCATAGACCTCGGCTTGGAAAATGCTATGGAAACTTCCCATGGGAATGGAGAGTTTGGTGCCTGGCCCAGCGACCCCTGCACCAATCCCCTCCTCCGTTTTCGACCCGTCGGTGTACCACTTGATGGTGCAACCCCTTAGCAGCAGCTCTAGTTAAGAGTCCTTCCACTCAGATTTGCTGCCCAGGGTTACTTGGAACTTCCTGCTGAAGTTTACTACTTTGGTAATGCTATCCCTTGGGAGAAGGGCTAGTGGTATTTCCTCACTTAGCTCTTTTATCTGCTGGGATGAGATTACCTTCCCTTTGCCAGCTCCCTCTGCTGTCATTTGGAGCAGAGTTCGTTTAGCAGTCTGTTTGATTACCAGGTGTAGCGGTGAAAGTTCTAGCATGACCTCCAGTGCTGCGGTCGGACACGTTCGCATTGCTCCCGACGCGCAGATGCAGGCAAGTCTTTGCAGCTTCGACAGTTTAAGTCCTACCGAAGTCTGCGATGCTTTCGAACCCCACGTTACTGCTCCATACGTGATAATCGGTCTCACAATCATGGTGTACATCCACCTGATAGTCCTTGGGGAGCACCCCCAGGATTTTCCAGCAAGTCGGTTGCACACCATGAGTGCTTTTGTAGCTTTGGTTAGGGTTTGGTCCACATGCTGATTCCATCGCAGTGTGGAATCCAGCGTGAGTCCCAGATACTTGACCGTGCTGGACATCTCAACCACTCTGCCGTCCAGGGATATATTCCTGAGGCCCGGCAGTGACCTCCGCCTGGTGAAGGGAATGATTGTAGTTTTAGCGGGGTTGATGTTTAAGCCAACCCCCCTACACCATCCCTTTGCTAGTCCCAATCCCTTCTGAACGATATCGCAGAGTGTGTCTTCAAATTTTCCCCTAGCTAAGATAACAATATCATCCGCATATCCCTGACAGCGGATTCCATTGCTAGTCAGCCGTTCAAGGAGGTCGTCTACAACTAGGCTCCAAAGTAGGGGGGATAGCACTCCGCCCTGTGGGCAACCTCTTGTTGTTCCCAGACGAATTTTAGTTTCTCCTACTGCAGCTTCCGCCACCCTAGTGCGCAGTACGGCTGCAATCCATCTGCGCACTGGTGCTGCCACACTCCTTTTCTCCAGTGCTCTTGACACGCACTCATGAGACGTGTTGTCAAAAGCACCTTCTATGTCGAGGAAGCCGCATAGCGTCACCTCGCCCCCATCTAACGAATTCTGGATCTCTAAGGTTAGCTGGTACAGAGCAGTGTTAGTTGATCTACCTGCTTTGTAAGCACGTTGCTTCTCATGAAGCGGTGAAGCTTTCAGCACCTTCGATCGTAATTCGTGGTCTATGATCTTTTCCATACTTTTGAGTAGGAAGGAAGTAAGACAGATTGGTCTGAACGATTTCGCCAATGAGTAGTCTTTCCTCCCTACTTTGGGTATGAAGATCACCTTTGCGGTGCGCCATGGTTCTGGGATATATGCCAGCGCTAGGCTATCCCTCATCAGCCGAACAAGGTGGGGCAGTAGCACCTGCTCCCCCTGTTGCAGAAAAGCTGGAAGGATACCATCCGCACCCGGTGACTTGTATTTTTCAAAGGAGGCCAGAGCCCACTTGATGGAGTCTGCAGTGAAGAGCTGTTTTGCGACTGTCCAGTTCAAGCGTGACGGCCTTCGTTTGACCATAGGTCGAATCTGGTCTTCTTGAATCGTCTCCGGGAAATGCGCTAGTAGAAGAGCCGTAGCTCTTTCTTCTGCGCTGGACGTATAGGTCCCATCAGATCGATTGATCGCTAGTACTGTGTCCGTCTTGCCTCTAGCCAGAGCCTTATGCAGTCTAGCTGCCTCTGGGGTAGAGGAGACGCTCTCACAGAACTTCCTGAAGCTCTTCTGTTTCGCGGTCCTAATCTCCTTATTGTAAGCAGTTAGGCTGCATCTGTAATCCTCCCAGTTTCCGGTGCGCTTAGCCTTATTGAATAGCTTGCGCACCGTTTTTCTCAGTACTGAGAGTTTACTAGACCACCAGGAGCAGTTACTGCTCTTGGCGACTGTCTTTAGGGGGCAGCTGCTATGATAGGCTTCTGTGATGGATTGGTTTAGGGCAGACAGTCTGCTCTCCAATCCAGAAGCCGTTACGCTTCTATCCAGCTGCTCCCTACTGCTAACATTTGTTTTAAGCGAGTCCCTAAAAACGGCCCAGTCCGTGTTCCTAGGGATACGCTTGGGAGGGGGTTGCCCGACCCCCATCCCCAGCACGAATCATATGATGCGGTTCCGATGATACCCTCCATTGTGAGATCAGCCCCATCTCAGACTCGCTACTGAGAGTGATGTCAAGCACCTTCCTTCTGACACTAGTTACAAAGGTCGGTTCGCACCCCACGTTTGCTATACTTAAATTATTACTAACTATAAACTCGATAAGAGACTCACCCCGTGTGTTGCAGTCCGTGCTGCCCCATTCGATGTGGTGGGCATTCGCATCGCAGCCCATGATGAGGGGCAGTTTATTCCGCCTGCAGTGCTCTACCAGGTTGCCGATTGCCTCTGGGGGTGCTATCGGAGTCTCCCCCGGAAAATAGGCCGCTGCCATGACGAAGTCCGCTCTTTCGTCGTTCGTGGCTTGTACAGCGACCAAGTCCTGTGTTAGGAACTCTGAAATACAGAAAAAATCAATACCGTTCCTAAGTACTATGCAGGTTCTGGGTCTCTCACTTGAGAGGTCCCAAATTACCTTGTTTGACTCCATTTTGAGGCCCCTGACCTTTCCTTTTCTGACCCATGGCTCCTGGATCAGTAGTATGCCCAGACCATCGATCGTAAACCTGCTCGCGATAACCGCCGAGGCTGACGCCGCGTGGTGCAGGTTTACCTGGGCAACTTCTATTCGCGGACCCACTACAGGATCGGCTCCATGAGGAACTGGTCCTCATTCTCACCGTCCTCCGCGATGTCTCCCGCCAGGTTCGTGAGCCCTTCCAGAAGCTCCTGAGTGGAGGGTAGCGCCCCCCCCTTGCTCGCCCGTCTTCTCGGAAGGGACCTTCACCGATGTCTCGGCAGTTGCCGCCTGCTTTGACGTACTTGCGCAGGGATGAGTCGCAACCTCATCCACCTGCATTTTTTCTCCTACATCGCCCTCGGTGGTCGTTTTAGGCCTGAATGGCCTCAGGACCACCGAGCTGAACCTATAGTTCAGGCGGAAGCTCACCTCCCTGACGAATTTGTACGATTCGTCATCTATGGAGAGGTTGAGCCTCCACCCTGAATCCTCCGCAGTGCTGCTGGTCACCCGCCAGGCCGATGTATTGAGGCCATCGTTCTGGTTGCGGATGAGCCCGAGAGCAAATTCGTAAGGCTTGCCTGCGCATCTGGGGAGGAATACCGTCATGCTATGCATGGGCGGAATTTCGTCCCCCTTTTTCGCGCAGAGGATGGGTCCATTCCAGCCTGCCAGCGTGGGAGCGATCTCCCGCAGCCAACAAGCCGACCTTTCATCCTTGCAGTCAACCTGCAATATGCCTCCCTTGAAATAAACCCCATGGAAGGAGGCTTTGCATCCAGACCCCCTGAATACCTCCTCCATGAACAGATCTTGGAGCACGGTGAGCTCCTCCGACCCCATCGTCTTCGAAGGGTAGTTCAGCGGCAGCACCGCCATACGAATGCCTTTGAGGGCATCCGCATACCTGCGCTGTCCCTCCGCTACCCGGGGAGGATTTGGGGCGGAGCGGTTGCCACCAGTCGCCTGAGCAACGTTGCCCCTCTGCCGCTTGGTGTTGGGCGGCTCCTGTGGCGTCAGCTGTCCACTTTTTCGCTTCGCCGCTTGGGTGGTCGAGGGAGCTGCCCTTTCGCAACCTCGGCCTGCGGGCTGAGTTGCGTTTACTGGGCAGTGGCCCGGTGTAACATTAAAATTTGTTGTCATTGTTGTGAACAAATTTAACAAAGCTATGCAGCCATTAGCATTGACCTGGCATTCCTGCTCAACCAGCCACCTAAAAAAGGAGCTGAGTTCTACAAATCTTGGCCGGATACATACACTTTATACCAAGCGAAAGCTTAATTTTACAAGTCTTTAAGAAATTAATGATAAATAATATATAAATTCTTTCCACTTTACTGTTTTAGTATGAGCAGTGCCAAACCTGGTTTTTACCCTGAGGCTGATCCAAAACATATGTTATTTATCTGGAGCAACAGTAAGTTCTTGTCAAACTTTAACCTGTAAACAATCATTAATCGTTTTATTAATATTGAGCAGTAAGCAAACAAATTAGCAGATTTTTGCAACACTTTCCTATTTTCGCGTTAGACACACATACAACACAGGAGGATATCATCAAAAGTGGTTAGTAGACAGTATATTCTGTTGTAAATGTATGTATGTAATTTAGTTATTGGCAGCAATTTAGGCCAAATTTCGGTTTACAACCAATCAACTTATTTAGAAAATAAATTGCTAGAGTGATGAATGGCAATTCGGCTGCCACCGAATGTGTTAATTTGACAAAATTTTATTATAATTTATAGTTTTTAATTAAATGCAACATATATTTTTCTCCGTTATGGTGTCTTTTGTATCTCTTTTATATTTTGCTTTCGTTTTTTTTTATAACGAAAACATTAAAAAGTCTTGATATTCAAATTTTCTAGTCCCTGTATCGCTTAACAAAGCTCTTAGCATTTAACTATAAGAATTTCAAAGCTTCAATAGCACTTGCTATTCTTTGTCTCTTCCCTCAAGTTTGCTTTTACTAGTTTCAAGCCACGGTATTTTTCTGTTTTATTTATGTTGTTTTTGTTTTGTTTGTGAAAGCGCCCTTTGTGTTGTGCTCACTTGGTAATCATGTTTTCTTTAGAACTTTTCAATGAAGCTGGCTTTTAACTGTTAATGATCATGGATTAGATTGAGGTGGTATCTTTTTGTGGTTATTTAATTGGTATTAAGTTTTTTTTTTTTTCAAAATTAAAATAAAGCATATATTCATTTTTTAACTAATAGAAAAATTAAGCAGTAATCATTTGGAAGTTTTTAGTGTTAAGCACAGGATTGAAAACTATAGAAATAAAAAAAAAATATGTATATCACAATATAAAACCTAATAAAAAGTTAGAAATTTGCTTAGTGAAACACGAGTATTATATTACATGAGATCCGTTGGGTTATCTTGTAGCATATAGCATATATATAAAATTGATTCAAATAATATAAACACACTGGCGCGCTGTTAACCAAACACTTCTCTTCACAAAATGAATACTTTTTCCTCACTTAAAAAAAATTTACTTGAGTTGCCGAAGCTTCACAGATATAACAGGTTCCGTACAAGCACATGATTTCAATCGGAAAGTTTGTCTGGAAGCTATATACTATGGTGTTTCGATCTGCACAATTTGTTCAGAACATAAATCCATGCCAAATTTAGTGCAGATATCTCATCAAATAAAAAAGTTTTACATACAATGACATAATTTTGCACGTTGTATGACAGCTATATGCCATAGTGAAGCGATATCGACGGTGCCAACAAATGAGCGGCTTCTTGGAAAGAAAAGGAGGTGTGTGAAATTTCAGAGCGATATCTCAAAAACTAAGTGACACTGATGATTTAAATAAATACTTTATAGGATTTCTGACGTTTCCTTCTGGGTTTTACAAACTTCTTGGCAAACTTAATATACCCTCTTCAGTGCATAAAAAGTTACCAAAAGTTGTGTAGCTTGCACATTTGTAACAAAAAAAAAGAAAAAAAAAATTATGAACAAGAAATAATTTTTCACACCTCTTTAAATAATCTTAACTAGCCATGCTTTAATACACAAACCCTTTGTATTCACAGACATCCTGCGGCTGCGGATCTGCATATAAGCATACCGCTTTGCTTTTTCGTGCAATTGAAAAATAGTTTTCAACAAATGCTCAGCACTCAAAACGAAGGCAAAACAATGAGTTGATAATTGAAAGCGCGCTCGGTTCAACGTCTCGTTCGAAACCCTCAATGATTCGTCACATTCCATGAATGCATACACAATTATTTAGATCGCCTTACACACACTCACACACACACACACATACTAACAGACGTGCGCTGCTCTCTTGCAGTTTTCATGTTTGCGCACAATGAATAGGTGCTTAACCACCAGCCTCGAACAATGAGCGACACCAAAGCCTGCCGATTGCAGCAGCAACACTGGCGATTGTGTTGTTGTGACAGGCGTGTAATTTCATTTATTGCATTTTTTCAATAAACACGTTTCCCAACGAATGAGAATTCATATAAAATCACCAACTAATGCCGGATTCCACCTCAACACCGCTAACCGCATGAAAATCACGCACCGCACACCGAAAAAACACCAAACGTAAAACAACAACACAAAAGGCAGAAATAGAAATGATGAATTTATTGAGTATTGAGCAGACGAGGAAGACAGTTTGCGTTAGAGGAGACTACATATAAAGCGATAAAAGAACAGTTGGTTGGCGATGACGTTGACGACCTTTCTACCTTCGCCGACACCGCTCCACCGTCGCGTACTACCTGCAGCCGCACAATGCGCGAACAGCGACCTTAGACAGTTGCAGTTGTTGTTTTTGGCGCGCTATGTATGTGCTTGCTTGCGTGTGTGTGTGTGTGTGCTGAGATACCAAAACCGCATTTTACCGAAAGAACAAATGACTCCAAATCAATCAAGTCGTGCCCATTGTTCGGTGCCTGCCTTTGCCATCTTGCCATCATAGCGGCAGCGAGGCATAGTTGAAATGTTTAGAGAGTTTGGTAAGAGAAAAAATTGAGGTTTCCAATAACAAAGGCAATAGTAGAAAGCAACAGAGAAATAATAACACAAAAAAACAACAGCAAATCAGTACAACAGTAAATTTGGAGTGCATGTTGTGTTAGGGTTGAGGAAGCAATCAGATAACCATCAATTTGGTTTGCTCAGCAGCGGCCTCACTGCAGTCACCGCTTCGACACTACGCCTTCAGTGTGTGTGTGTGTGTATGTGTGTGCGTTTGTGTCAAATGGCCATGCATTTCAGCTTTATTAGGCGCAATAATATGTTTATTGTTGTTTTTATTGCTTTCTTATTATATTTTGTTATCTAATTTTCTCCTGAAATTCCAAACTGTCATACGCTTGACAACTGCCAGAATAATGCTCTCAACAATTTGTGACAAATGAAGGCTACATTTTTGGAATTCTCAAACGATGCTCGTCGTTCATGATAAACGCCAACTCGCGCTGCTTTGTCGAGTTATCGAGAAAGGTACTTGATACTGGGCGCGTACGATGTGTCACTAACCGGTCATTTAGTTAGGTGGCTTGCTGGTTGCATTAATGGCGCTTTAATTTAATTGCTTCCTGAAAATGCACTAAAGTTATAGTTTCAAGTGTCTTTTGAAGAACTCAGTGTCATAATGAGTGCTGATGTGGGCAGTTAGAAGAGACAGTCGAAGTTTAACTGCTCGTATAAATGCGCGATTCCGGCTAACTTGTAGACTATTAGTGCTAATATGTAAATATTGAAAAGCATTGACGAAGTTTGTATGTATGTGTTTTAGTGTTAAAAGTGAAATCGATATTTTTGTTTTTTGTTCTCGGAAATTAGTCACTTGTAATGCTCGAATTGACAAATTTATGTTAAAGAATACCAAAAGAAGTAAAAACGTTAATTTCCGTTGCACCGATGCTATAATGCATTTTACAAATACAAAAGATTGCTTACAAGAATTTGATTTTAATTGGTAAGTTTGTATGACAGCTACATGCTATAATAATCGTATATCGGCGGTTTCGATAAATGAGCAGCTTATTGCTGAGAAAAGAACGTGTGCAAAATCTCATAACGATATCTCAAAAACTGAAGGACTAGTTCGCGTATACGCGTATACAGACAGACGGACATGGCTAAATCGACACAGCTCGTCACGCTTATCATTTAAATATATATTGTATAGGGTCTATGACGATTCCTTCTGGGTTTTTCAAACATCGTGGCAAACTTAATATACCCTGTTCAGAGTAAAAAAATATTGTATTAATTTAATGCAAAATTACGAATCAACATTAAAAATTATTAAGAAATATAAACAAACAGAAATCTGTATGTAGACAGAATTCTAATTGGACAATCGAATCGGAGTATAGGTTTTATGGAAATAAAATTCCTTTCTTACATATTACTTTTTATTGTTGTTGTATTATATTATTGTTGTACTATGCGTCATCCTGTTTCAGCAAATAATACTCCCTTTCAAACATCCCTTAGGCGATTTAGAATATTTTTGCACAGCCCTTTCTAAGCCCGTATCGATATTAAAGTGCTGCGCTATTTACAACATAAGCACCCATGTGTTTATAAGGCGCACATTCCATGTATTTATGTCTACGGTCATATGCGTCGGCAGCTCAAGTACGTGAAAAAGGACGCTGCCACAGCCGCAACGGCATTGATTGCGAATAGCTGACGCAAGAAATGAAGAGCACAAAGCACAAACAATGAAGAAGGCAGAAAAGCGGGGCTCCTGTAATGACACAGCATTTGCGCATGCGCACGCGCACATTCCAGTGCAACACTTGCAAAAATTCCTGCCAGTACTAAAATTAAAAACAAAAACTCAAAAATGCACAAAAACAATACAGATAAAAGCGTTTCAGCTTTACCCAGCAGTTGTTGTTGTTGTGGTTGATATTGCCGCGACTGTTGCCGTTGTTGTGCTAGCTGCTGCTGTATACTTATCAATTTTTTTTAGTAACAATTTTCAACGACAGCAAAAACTGCGACAGCACAGCTAAAACAAGGAAAACAGTGAAAAGGCAACAACAAAAACAAAAAACAAAAAAATTGCGAGAGATTCGAAGTTAAGGAAATCAACAAGCGAAGAACGGTGGCAGCCAAGTTTCGAAAGCAAAAGCAATGTAATTTTATAGCCGCACAGCAATAGCAACAACACAGCGGCAGCAACAAATACAACCAACTACATACATACACACATGCTGGTAGGTATTGTTGTTGTTGCTGCTGCAGCATCGCCGTCAAGTCGCAAGTCAACTTAGTCACATAGCGCGCTTTGAAAGCGCAGAAGACAGTTCAATGGCCAAAACGACAACAACAACAATGCCAACAACAACACCAACAACATAAAGCCCCAGCCCCAGCAACAACGTGCAACAGCGCTCGCACTCGCAGCCTTTGCGAGCCGACTTCACTACCGCACTTTGCCCGCAACAAAGTGTAGCCTTCGCTTTGCTGCGGATTTGTTTTTGTTTGTTGCTTTTATTGGTGGCACGATTTCGCTGCTCCTGCGCACAAAAGACCAAAATGCAGTTGCAACGCAGCACTCAACAAGCTGCGCCACAACAACAACTAACAACAGCTAGCGATAGGTGCAGCTGTACCAACCAACAAAACGGGCATGCAATTCATTTCAGTGCATTTTATGCCACTCAACGCAGCAATGCAGCATTTCACCCTGGAGCTATGCGATATGTGCGCCAGGCGTTCGCAAACCTGGACTCTCCGCCATGGTGGTGCTCAAGATATTGTATACATTATGTGTTGGTCTTCACTGTTACTCACTGATATTGCTGAAATCCCAATATGCTTTAGATGAATAGTTTTTTGTGTGCTTCTTCGGGATTTTTATCGTAAATATGCGCTCGCGAGTGTCCACCTTGCACTTTGCCATATATTTGCTTAACCTTGTCTGTGCTTTGAACGAAATTGCTTTGTGACAGCACTTAATCCGTCTATTATGAAGACCTAACAACTTGGCTTGATTCTAACCTAACCGATTTCACTATGTTTCATATATTATATTATATATATACACAAAAGTTTGTGACACCGCTGCAACCTCTGCTTCTACACCGCCTCCAGCTGCCATGAAGATATAACCTTCTTCTTCTGCTTACGCTTACATGCGCTCAACCACGTTGCCTGCTGCCTCTTCGTGCATTTTCAGTGTCTTCACTGCATTTTATAACGCAAGCAAGTCGAGAATTTGCTCGCCCGCCAAGGAATCTCCAGGGACAGCAGGCGAGGCGGCGCGCCGTTTGTCGTTCGCCGTCTGGCGGCTGCCAATAACTGCTGCTCGCTACAGCGTCGACAACAGAGGAGCACGAGACACACACACACACACTTATATATATATATATATATATATGTATGCATAAGCTGCAACCATTTCGGTTGCCTTGCACATTTTTTAATGGCAATAATTACATGCAATTATTGTTATTATTGCAATATTATTTTTATATGTGCATCAGCTTATTGTTATTTTTTAATTTTGCTCGTTAGAATTTCATGTTTTTGTGCAACTTAAAGGAATTGCACTGCCACCAATGGCCCACACCTTGGCCGCCGTTGACTCGCATGCATCTGCAGATATTCTTATTAGAACTTTCATAGTTGCTGTTTCTCTGTTTGTGTTTGTGTGTGTGTACCATTCGGCACATTAAACCACATTCGTGTGGGCGAGGTGCGTTTTGTTGCGGCGTTTATGGACTCTAAAGTGTCAAACAGTGTGAAAATGTTTTCGCGAATTTCAACTGAAGTATGCTATTGGCTTGTCTATTATGCCACAACAAGAAACTTTTGTATATACAAGTAAGTTGTGGCAAATAACCGTTTGCAGCATTCAAATAAAGTCGCTACAAATGATTTCATTACACGGCTGGAGTGGAACGCCCAAAACAACTCAAAGGAAAAGCAGCAGAATGCAGCTTAATGCTCACTATTAGTAAATTTAATTGCGCTTTGTGTATTGGAATTAATTTATAATGGATTATAAAATTAATGCAAAACAAGAAATAGCGTTAACTTCGGTTGATCCAAAGTAATACTCTTCACAAATACAAAGGCTCTTTACAAGAACTTGATTCCGATCGTTCAACTTGTATGATAGCAATATGCTATATTTCAGATCGATAGCTTAAAAACTGAGGGACTAGTTTGTATATATACGAACAGACGGACATGGCTAAATCAACTCAGCTCATCATGCTGATCATTTATGTATATATTTTATAGGGTCTCCGACGTTTCCTTCTGGGTGTTGTAAACTTCGTGGCAAACTTAATATACCCTGTTCAGGGTTTAATAAAGAACTCTAATGCAGAGACAGTATATTTTTTTTTAGTTATAAAGTCCTTCTAACGCCTGTAGAGTTTTTGAAAAGCCAGCGAAAATTATGGAGTTTATAAAACAAACATTGAGTTATGATCCGACCAAAGATATTTTAGACCCCTAAAATTCTTCTACCTGCCTTATACAACTTTTTGGAAGAAAAGTTATACCAAAGATCTGTGGTGTTCCAGAACTTAATGGATTTGCTTGTGTTATCCGATTTTCTTTACTATTAACGCTAAAGCTGCCATCTTGATGTTTTCCAGTGATCTCGAGCTTGAATACCTACACTTACATATTATATATACGACCAGACCTGGCCTC